CACAACTCCACCTCCTCGCCCAACCCCAAGCACTCCCTAGAAGCGACCCCTCCATTAGCAAAAAAGTCACATCCCAAGGACCTGCCGATGACACGGCTTGGGAAACGAACACCAGGTCTTGCAAGGGTCCACAGGTCAGAAAAGCCCACATTCTTACATTGGAAAATTGCTGGCCAGCGCAGGCCGCGGGTGGCAACATTGCAAAATTTCCTCTTCTAGCAGGATGTACGATTTAGAAAGACCTTGCTTAAAACGCAACCAGCCGAACAGGGCCTGGGTGGAAGGGCCCAGTCTCCTGGCAGAAAGCCCGAGCGGGAATGCAGGGTTAGGCAAGTCTCTGCCCCCACCTGATACGGCCCCACAGTTCCAGAATTCAATTCAGGATCAGAAATGCAGTGGCTACAGCGAAACAGTGGCAGGGTCGTGGGTGATGTGGATTCTGGGACACTTGGAAGGCACTTTGGCGTCCCTGAAACCGGGGTGGAGGGGTGTGACTCCCGGTGTCCCTTCTGCAATGGGAAAAGCTGTTTTAATACTGCTTTCACAAGGAGAAGGTCTGCGGGGGGCCAAAATCGCCATGCCGCCTTGGAGTCTAGAAGGTTCACGGGGCAGCCTCAGGGATGGCACTGAGACCCGGCAAACGGTTCTAACCCAGAAGGCACTGAGGATGCCCTTCCATCACGGCAGCGGGACACGCCACCACGGCTACACTCCTTAACGCACCTAGAAAAGCAGCGAACTCGTGCATGCCAATGTCCCCAGGCCTCCAATGCAAAGTTGAGTCCCAGGGTCTGTGACCTCGGGTCTGGGCTGCCTGAGCAGGCAGGCTGGACGTGAGCCATGCGGGAGTGGGGGGCAGCTGACAGGAGGGAAGGGGTCACCCTGAGCTTGAAGACAGCCCTTGTGGCTCATGCCTGGGTTGCAGTCCCTGCCAAGGCAGGAGGGGGGTGGACGGGAGTTGGGGACCATCTCTAGCAGCTGCAGCTGCTGGGCTGTGGGGGCGGGGCATCCCCCAGGGCCGGGCCTTTCCCGTTGCTGCCTGGGCTGGAGCTGGGTTCCAGGGACTCATTCATCTTCTCGCAGATGACATCCACCAGGCGCTCGAACACCTGCTTCACGTTGACGTTCTCCTTGGCGCTGGCCTCAAAGAACTCAAAACCTGGATGGGCATAAGGCGGGGACATTGGTGAGACCCCCAAGGGGCAGGGCCTGTGCCGTGGCATCACCCAAACCGGAGTTCCAAGCCTGGTTCTGCCCTCTACACGTCTTTGCCTCCCCAAGCCTCAGTTTGCTCATCTGTAAAATGGGAACAGTCATATGGCTGATGATAAAAATTTGCAGTGGCAGCAAATATGGACCATCCTAAAGCTCACTTTGTCACAAAGTAGCGTCTGCAGAAGTCCTGGTGCCCAGCAGGCATGGGAGGGAGGGGTGCCCACAGGTGGCTAAGCTTCCACCTCATTTCTTTCTTTCTTTTTTTTTTTTTTTGAGACAGGGTCTGTCTCTTTTGCCCAGGCTGGAGTGCAGTGGCATCATCATAGCTCATTGCAACCTTAAACTCCCGGGCTCAAGCGATCCCCCTGCCTCAGCCTCCCGAGTAGCTACAGGTATGTGCCACCATGCCCGCGTAAGTTTTTTATTATTTTTTGTAGAGACGAAGTCTTGCTATTGCCCAGGCTGGTCTCAAACTCCTGGCCTCAAGTGATCCTCCCACCTGGGCCTCCCAAAGTGGTAGGATCACAGGAGTGAGCCACCATGCCCAGGCTAAGGGTCATACTATTACAGCCCATTTTACAGATGTGAAAACCAAGAAGAGAGGTAAAGTCACTTACATAGATTCACACAGGTACTTAGTGACAGAGCTGGAATTCATACCAGCCCATGTGACTCGAATAATAAGAATAAATATTACTCTGACATCACCTTGGGCCTTAGGGGTGGGAGCAGGCTGGCCGACTCCTTCTAAGAAGGGGCTATAAGGTAGCTTTGACTATATTCTGAGCATCATCATAGTGGCTGCCATAAGCTGCTTCTCATTTAAAAATGTTTGTCCTTCCAAAAGCAGGGGGTGGTATAAATGCTTTGGGGACCTGCCCGAGGACCCTTGGCTGCAAAAAGTGGCCCATTGACCTAAAAACAAGGGTGTCCGTGATGAACCTTCCTGCGTCCTTTCAAGGTCACTTCAGGGTCTGCCTGTGAGGGGCTGTCCCTGAATTGCCACGCATCTCCCACCCGCAACATCCACCAAAGAGAGGCAGAAATTGAGACAAACACGCACCACGTTTCACACGGTACAGGGTAAGGGGGCCTCTATTTGTGTGTGTGTGTGACACTGCGCTATAAAAATGGAATTATAGGCCAGGCACAGTGGCTCACACTTGTAATCCCAGCGCTCACTGGGAGGCCGAGGCGGGAGGATCGCTTGAGGCCAGGAGTTCGAGGCCAGCCTGAGCAAGAATGAGACCCTGTCTCTACTAAAAACAGAAAAATTAGCCAGGCGTGGTGGCACACACCTGTAGTCCCAGCTACTCAGGAGGCTGAGGCAGGAGGATCGCTTGAGCCCAGGTGTGTGGGGTTGTAGTGAGCTATGATCGCACCACTGTACTCTAGCCTGGGCAAAAGAGAGAGCCCTTGTCTCAAAAAAGAAAAAAAAAAAAAGAATTGTAATTAGTTAGGTGTGTAATTATCTGTTGGCGATTCATGTCTGCTACTAGAAGGCCAGCTACAGGTGGACAGGATTTCCATCCATGGCTGAAGCCGCAGTGTCTGGCACTGAGCAGGTGCTTGGAAACTGTTTGCTCAATGACTGAATGAGTGAATGGGCGAATGAATGAAAGGCAGAGAGGCAGAACTCTGATCTCCTACTCTGAGCCTAGTGGTAGCAAAGCTGCCCCATTGTCTCTCTGGGCAGATGTGGCATTTCCTTATCCACATGTGGCTCTGCCTCGTATAATCTGTTCTTG